TTGGTGTGATATCACCGAGCTGGAAGATGAGAAGAGAGGACCAGCTTTGAGAAACAGATTAGAAGGAGAAGCAGCTGTATACAAACGAGTTTTAGACAGAGATGCATTGAAGGCGAATGATCCACCAGGAGCTGGAGTAGAATACTTTAAACGAGCACTACGACCATATTTTGTGAAAGGATCCACCAATGTATTCCTGTATAGGTTTATGCAATTCGTGCGCTTCAATCGCGGATCAGCTGATATGATGAAATGGATGACAAGATTTCAGATCTTACTCCAAAGGCTTATGAGCAGTTGGATGGACATGTTGGATCCAGTAACACAAGTACATCCTCAGGTACAAGCACAGATGCAAGCTGATGCAGCAATGACTGGAGTAGCTCCAACAGCGGAAAGAGTTCAGGAAATCATGCAGAATGTCAATGGCAATCTGAGGATTCTTCATCAGAACGATTTTCCTTTAGGAGAAAATCTCATTGCCTTACTCATGCTGTCACTCGCAGATTTGTCTCAGGACCAGAGGAACACTTTGACCTCTTTGATGACTCATCGTGGTAGAGTCCTGCAGCAATACACCACAATAGAGTTGAGGACAGTCTTCATTGAGATGTTCTGCACAACAAAGACTTCAGTAGACAATCCTCTGATGCAGCCAACAGGTGCTGGAGGTAGAAGATCATTTCTCGTACTAGACGAAGGAGAACTCGATGGTACATATGGCTATTGGGCCGAAGATGAAGAAGATGGAACAGAAGGATTCCTTGATGCCCTGGACGATGTCTTTTGGGTATATGATGAACAGAATTTCTCTTGGTTCCAGAGGAGATTCCAAGGAAGAAGAGCCAGAAAAGGTAAAAGAAAAGGAAAAGGCAAAGGAAGATCAGGCCGCAGATTTTTCAGACCTCGTGGAAAAGGAAAGAGACGAGGTAAAGGCCATTATGCTGATGAGCAATCGACAACTTACCCAGATGAGTATTTTGAAGAGAATCCTTATGAGGACACTTGGGAGTCAAACCAAGTAGCATATGATGCTATTCTTGCCGAGGATATGAATGACTATCTTCAAGGAGAACATGAAGATGCCAATGACTTTTGGCAACAGCTTGAAGAAGCATGGTTTTCCCACAAAGGAAAAGGAAAAGGCAAGAGAAAAGGCAAGAAAGGAAAAGGAAAAGAGAAAGGAGATGGCAAACAAGATGCAAACTATGCAAATCAACAACAGCCACGTTCCTTACCTGCACCTTCAAGATCTTCACAAGCATCAGGAAGCCACCAAGGTTTCTTTGCTCATTGTGTGACAACAGAAGCTGAAGTCCATGACAGTGAGGTGAACTTGCTGTCAGGCATGATGACCTCATGTCAAGATGAAGCTGACTGTAATGTCAACAATGGTGAGACGATCTTCGATGGCATGAGTGCCCCTGTGAGGTACTCTTTGTCAAAGGAGATGCTCACAAGTGCTCCTGATGGCTTTGCGCTTATGAGCGCTGAGGAAGAAGTGAAAGAGATGCAGGCTATTTCATTTTTGACTGAGAATCGCTTCCCGCCAACTATTGCAATCCTGGACATTGGATGCACTAGAGCTATGGGATCAAGGCGTGCAGTCGATTATTTTTGTAACTATGTCGACAATCACCCAAACTGTGGACTATGGTACTCTTTTGAGTCTACCAAGAGCAAGTTTCACTTTGCTAATTCTCAGAAGGCTTCTTGCTCTCAGAAACTGGTGATTTACATGTATGATCGTGCATGGACGATCCACAATACAGAGTTCGACATAGTGGAAGAAGGAGAAGTCCCTTTGCTTATGAGCTTGCCACAGATGAGGAACTTAGGCTTTGAACTCAGGCTGACACCTCAACATGCTTACCTGACATCGGTGCCTCTTGGTATCAAATTTTTGGAGTTGAAGGTTGCAGCCAGTACTCATCTTGTTTTGGACTTCCAAGATATTGCATGGTATCTGTCTGACGTGCGTTTGCAGGCTCGGCGCGAGAAGAGCTTTTACTCTCACTTCACTCACTATGAATATGGCCATATTTCGGTTGATCACAATAGTGATGAAGATGAAGCTGAGCATGCATATCCTGTGGTTGACTACTGGGAAGTAGATCTTCACAAGAGAGAACTGACACGTCACCACAAGGATTACAGGAAGATTCTTTTCCCAGCAACTAAGTCTTGTCCTGTAGACACTGACTTGCTGGAAGACTTGCGATTGACAATCATCAAGAAGAAAGAAGGAGGAGAAGAGATCAAGAAGATAGATGATTGGCGCAAGGCAAAATGGAAGGACCTACAAATTGGCTATGAATGGCGTGGTAGAACAATTTTTAAGTTCAAGCCAGATGCCAAAATTCCAGATCTAAAGATCAGGAAGGCTTGCATTGAGCACCGTGGCATTGGTGATCCCGATGCAGTGGTGCGCTCCTCCTCAGAGAAGGTTCCCATTGCAAGGGACAGGGAACCAGGCTTCTCTTCAGAGAAGGAAGGTGCACCATCCAGTGCCGCGGAAAAGCCCGTGCCGCCAAAGTTTCGGTATAATTCCAAAGGTTTTGATCCATTTTGGAAAGGACACAAGTCGAAACCATCTGAGCCTCCACAGGATTTGAAGGGTGATGATCCTGAGGGTTATACTCCTTCAGAACCACCTGAGAGGCCAGAAGGTGAACTTGTAAAAATTCCTAAAGCATCAAAAGGACCATCAAGTGATAAATATGAACCACTTGAACCAGGTGATGGCGCTCTTGAGCCTAGGCGGATTTCAATCCCATTACCTGGTAGTGAAGTTGTTGCAATGACACCGGCATATAGGAAGATGTTGCAGAGACTGGAGGACAAGGTAGAGCTTTATAAGCTTCATGTGAAGCACTACCATATGAGTCCTACTCAGTTTCGTAGGCGTGCTTCTATGTTGAAGCTTCCTGACTCTGTTTTAGAGAAATATGAATCAGTTGTCAGGAACTGCCGTGTTTGTAACACTTCAGTGGCACCTCCGCCACGAGCCAGAGTCTCCGGTATTAGAGCTTCATGTTTTGGTGATGTTGTTTTTGCTGATCATTGTCGGGTTGAACTTCACAAGAACAAGTATATCATTCTACTTGTTCTTGATGGTGCCACAAATCTTCTCTGGGCTACGGCACAGAAAGACCTCATTGATCAAACCACCATCCAAGCATTGAGGCAGTGGTCTGATGAGAACAATTGTGTTCCGAAGGCCATCGTAGGAGACGAAGCCTTTTTCACAGATGCTTTTGTTGAATACTACAGGTTTCATGGTATACAACAATGTCCTTGTGGACCAAGAACTCCTTGGCCGAACCGAGCAGAGACAGCTGTACGTTTGTTCAAACGTATGTGGCATGTTATGAAGGTAGATCTGGATGACCCACGTTTTCGTGGTGTTACGGTCAGAGAAGTGGTCAAGAAGGTAGTGTGGGCAAGAAACTGTCAGTTGACTATCAGTGGATATTCACCAATAGAGATAGCAACTGGAAGACGTCCACCAGATCTTTTTGACCTTGAGACCGCAAGCCCTGAGCAATTGTCAGCTAGTGCAGCCGCACAAGATCGTACAAATCTGGAACTACAACGTGTAGCTCTGAGAGCTCATCAAGAAGCACGACAAGCTCAGGACCTTCGAGCAGATCTTGCAAGAAGGACTATGCCAAGTGACGGTCCATATTTTCAAGGAGAGAAGGTTTTTATTTGGACTCAGGATTCATCAAAGTTCAAGGATAAAGGACGTTGGGTTCGTGCCACAGTACTTGGACAAGAAGGAGCTATGGTCCAAGCCAACACTGGTAAGGCAGTGGTACGTGTGAATCAGTCGAAGGTTAGACGTGATCACGATGAGTGGCATGATGTTTCCATACCAGCATTAGACGATGAGAATCCGGAGAACTTACGTGAAGATCACGAACTATATGTTGATGCCGAATTTGGAGAACAGTCCTTTTTCTTTTGTAATGATGATTGTCCTGATGTTGTTGAGTTACTTCATGGAAACAGTGGATTATCTTGGTTCCTTTCAAAGAATGGTGTTAGAGTTGCATCTCCTATGGATTTCAAGGCAGGATACAACTTTTCCACGTTGAAGGGTCAAGATGCTATTTGGCAGCAACTTGAGAGGT